TTGGTAAAATTATAAACATTAAGGACAAACTTGTAAATTGGAGTTTAATCTTGAAACAAAACTGTCTCAAATTTCAAAGGGTTTAAACTAAAAATGAATTGCAAGAGAAAGTGTTGTTGGATACATCAGTTTTTTAAGAAATTAAGAATAATTTTCTTGATCTCTAAGAAGTGATGGAATAAGGTTACAGGAGAAGAGGTGGGATAATATAAATATACTTATGCCCACTCTTTTGAGAGTATGAAAATTGTACATTTGTAATGTTTTTGTTAGCTTCTGTTCAGTAAAACTTAAMAAGAAGAAAGAAAAAAAGTACTTCAGCTAAAACCACCACTGYGAATTACWTTAAGATGTTTCTAAAATTTATAAATAACATTGGTAACAAAAYTAAAYGATTTTGTTAGACTGTCGTCTTTCACACATTTATAAAAGAGGAGAACAGTTTCAGTCAGATGTTTACAGACTGTAGTTTTGGTCCGACCATCAGAACCAGCTGCTCAAAGCTTGGTTTCCCGCTACCGCGTCCAAGCGCAAATSTTTGCAAACAAAAGTTGTCATGGCCTCTGTTATCTTTAAGTTCAGCTGAGAATCAGCTGTAATGTTAGTGATTCCTTAGTTTCRTTTGTTTTGCCCCAGACAACTTGTTGTTGGGAGCTAACATTAGCACTGACCGTCACTGGATGTAAACCTACGGCAGGCCAGAATTGACWGACAATTTGAACGAGAATCGATTCATATCGATTAAAGTGATTTTTTAAACCCAGCCCTAGTCCGAACACAAACTTTTTCAAACACCTGCTGAAAACCCGGTGAAGGCTAGGGGATACGTACATCAGCAGCATTAGTCCCAGTGCTGGGACCGAGTCTTTCGAACACACTGGGTCTGCGAGACGGGGCGGTGGGGTTRGTGGTGCTGCTGGTCGTGGTGCTGCTGCTGTCAGATATCGTCTTTGAATTCTCCACTGTTACTTTCCGCCTTATCTTGGACATTCTGCAGAACTAAAGGAGTTTAAAACAAACATGCTTGAAGAAGTGCAAATGTTTGTGACTGCCATACATTGATAAATTAAACTATAAAAACCAGTGTTTTGGAAGAAATTCTCCATTGTAAAATAGGCAAGGGTAATACAGAATAAAGTGACAACTTGTAAAAAAAAAAAGGTGAACAATGTGAGATTCAATACAACAAAATTACACAATCCTACAACAAAAGTGTAATAAAAATAGCAACACAAACAAAACAGAAAACATTTACAACTTTAAAAAATTATACTATACAAAACAAGAAAAATACTTTCACATATTCAGTTATAAAATGTYTGTTAAGATTTCATTGTTATTATTTTTGTGTGTTTTCAGCCTGACGACATGATTTTGTGTTTTGCTCATAAGTATATCCTACATGCTTTCACAAAACCAGCCTTTCAGTGAACTCTTTTTAATTGAGCATGTGATTGTTACTTTATTGCAACAACTCTGATAAACTGGTACTGGCTGCATGATTATTTGTTCTTTCTCAAACCAATTTAATAATTCATTAATAACAATCGTTTGCGCTACTTCGTTACATAGCGGCAACTTCAAGTTAGCAGTAATGCAAACTATCTACATTATGACTTCATGCGAGCACAAACAATATAGCATATGTTTATTGTTGTCTAAGTTTTAAATGTATACTTGTTCTGTACATGATCTGACAGTAGGAAATCCAAAACAAGCGTATGCTAATGCTAAAGCTAGCTTCAGGCCTATGCCAACTCCTGCAGGGAAACGTAAGCTGACATAAATGTTTAAAGAAAAGTCAGACTTTCTCACCCAAGATAAGGTCTCGGTGTTGCATCTAACTTTAAACTAGTWAGCGGAGCAAGCCCTTGTTAAAACAAACAAGTCTTATTCTTTAAATTCAAAGGCAGAAGCTGCCCAGAATGCCTCCATGTTGGCGGAGAGTGCGCCTCACTCGTCTCTTTCTTCTTCTGTGGTATTTTTTTAGTCGCACTCGGCTCATGAGCASCGCCAACAGCTACACAGCTAGCAGATACACTGAACAAAAATATAAACGCAGCACTTTTGTTTTTGCTCCCATTTTTCACGAGTATAACTCATAGATCTAAGACTTTTTCTATGTWGACCATGGACCTTCTTCCTTCAAATATTGTTCAGAAATTTGTGTAAATCTATGTTGTATGGAGGACATAACCTTTCATAATGGGAAATAAATGTAGAAGTATATAAATGGCTTGAAAAAGTAAATACATGGCTAAATAAAATAATAATGTGCCAAATTTAGCAACCAAACAATAAAAATATACTATTTTTACCAATTTATTTGATTAAAMAGTGCAACTTTAATTAATATTTATMATTTTTAACAGTATTAATGTAACATTATCACAACTATTTCATTGTTCATTTTATTTCCAGTCACATTTTTTACTAATTATTTTATTTTTGTATTTCATTATTTATTTTTGCTAAGTTTTTCCAACTGCTTTATTTATTTATTCCAACTTTTTTTTTCTTGACACATTTAACTTCTCCTTTGCAGAGATAATCCATCCCATCTTGCATGTGTGTCATATCAAGATGGTGATTAGACAGCATGATCATTGCACAGATGTGCCTTAGGCTGGCCACAATAAAAGACCACACTGAAATGTGCTGTTTTTTGCTTTATTGGGGAGGTCTGAAAACCAGTCAGTATCTTTGACCATTATTTGCCTCACACAGTGCAACACATCTCCKTCGCATARAGTTGATCAGGTTGTTGATCGTGRCCTGTGGAATGTTGGTCCACTCCTCTTCACTGGCTGTGCGAAGTTGATGGATATTGGCAGGAACTGGAACACACTGTCGTATACGCAGATCAAGAGCTTTCCAAACATGCTCAGTGGGTGACATRTGAGCAGTGGCTGGTGGATTTTTCTCTGGGGGCTACAACTCCAAAATAGACATATCTCAAAAACCAATCAAACTTGTACTAAGTTGTTTCATGCCAGTGTATTTATTAAACAAATGAAAATAAAACAGTCATGTAGTTTTTATTTTTAGTACATACATTTTGCTCTTCTGTAACTGAGAAGCAAATTTCTTCATGACTGGTTAAAGTCAGTGATGTTTTAACAAGATTCTTTCTCTACTGAGCATGGTCAGTGCAGTGAGATGTGATGTACCTGTGGAAAGTCTGGATTGTCTTCAGTGTTCAGCTCCTCTCAGATTCAGCTGTGGTCAGAGGAGATGTGATGAGAGTCTTCAGCAGAGTCACAGTTTCTGAAGGTGTCCTGCAGATTGTTCTCCATGAAGAGCTGGTACAGAGACACCACTGCAGCTCCTGAACTAGATCAGACTTCTAGGTCCTGTTCAGCAATGGGTGAGCCTCCATGGTCTGCTGCTTCAGAGAACTGTCCTGCAGGACTCTGTCTGCCTGCAGCACTGTGATCAGATGCTTTGTAAATGGCTCAAGATGGTGTCATCAACCTRAAAAAATAAATGCACAAATTTATTTGAATATGGAGATGGCTACAAGTGTGCTTTCTAATATATATTTAAAGGGGCAACATCATGTAAAATATTTTTTTTAAGTTTTACTTCATGTCGTTAGCCACATAGCATGATTGCCTAAGTCATTTTTGAATGTTTTCGGAAAATAAGAAATAACTACTTTTTTAGGAAGCATATTGAGATTCTTTTATTTATATTGTAACAGAAAGTTCAATGAGATGTGTGAACAAGTGTCCAAAAAAAGTAAGACACAACACTGATTGCATAACAAATGTAACGTGAGGGTTTGTTCTGTGGTGGATGGATCACTCCAGATATAAAATATAAGCAGGATGCAAACAGATGGCTTTATTAACAGTTTTCAGATCTCCACACTTTTTTACACTTTTACCACAACACTTCCTGGTCTTCACATCACATGTCCCAAATCAACCAATCAGAAGCTAGCTGTAAGGTAAACAAAATAAGTGAAACACAAAAGCAGATTCAGCTTATTTAAAACAATTTTAACCATGCTGTTGAACATAACATTGTAAAAATGTAAATAATAATTTGGCTCATAAATGTAAACAACCACTGTTTAAACAACCACATTTGTTTTATATTAATCAGCCCAAAATGTAATAACTTCCTTTGTAACTCTTACACAAATAAAACTGACTTAGGCAGAAAAGGCCTTGACTTAGGCAAATTTTAACACAACAATACCTTAACCAACGTTGGTTTACTCTTCTAAACATAACCAAGTTCTGTTAATTTTCTAACTTTTAGCAAGTTGTTTTGAATTTTAACCTTAAAAAGGTTGTTGTACCTGTCTAACCTAAATCAAAGTCTGGCTCAGGTGCTGTGTTAACTTGTTTTCACACCGTCTACTGATGAGGGAAGTTGTCATGGTAATAGTGGGCCACCCTTTGTAGTACTGGTTTCATTGCCTGCAAGTCATTTGATTTCCAGAGAGTAATTGGCAGTTGGGCAGGAAAGAGTGGGACCCAATAGAATGGTGGAGATGTGGAGATGCTGATTCACAGAGGCAGGTCCTCCCAGACAGACTCAAAATCCAACTTGTACCAGATTTGACCATCTGCCAGATACTGGAGAGCCTGAAGATCATGGACTGTGGGGTCTCAATTTATCTTCCTGGTCAAATGTTGGTGACATAGGCTCCAGATAACTTCATGAAGTCATTGTGGAATAGCTGGGTGACCTTGTATGGGGATGGATGCAGACTTGCAATCTCAAAATGACAATGTAGTCACRTGGAGTGTGACTATCTTTGATCATGCGCCGTTCAATGAGAATATGCATGGAGTCACACTCCATTTGTGTGTGCCCTTCAACCAGAAACTTTTGCTCTATTATGACATTATAAAAGTACTAAGTATTTAAGAACATTTTTTTGTGTATCTTTACTTTACTTGAGTAATTTTTTGGGGGGTACTCATGACTTTTACTCCACTACATTTCTAGGAAGCTTTTGGTTACTCATTACTTTCGGTTCAGCATAACTTTGTAATTAGTCTGGTTAAAACCAGCCCCCTGTTCATCACTTTGCTTCGTTCGAGGGTCTGGACTCTCCGCTGTTGAGAAGCGATTGCTTGCTGGAAGCATGGCCTCTGTTGAAGTTTAAAATGATTGGCTCAGTTGGCCGCAACGTATGTGTGCGCCAGCTCCACTGTGAAGGAGGCTAAGCTAAGAAGCTGATCGCATGCGCTGTAAACAACCCTACTGATAGGAGAGAAGTACTGAGCCGAACAAGACGACTGTAAATGGGAGCTGCTGCTTTGTCAGACAAATTTAATTTAATTTGGAAGCCTTATCAACACAGACTGGCTTCATTCACTTCCTCCACTGCCATTGCTAAACTAGCAGACAGTGCGAAGAAAATCGACGTTGTTGTATAAAACTCCTCCTTCTGTTTGCTGATTGGCCCAGGTGAAATAAACTACAAGCAGACACTATACACAGAAAATCGATGTTGTCATTCAAAACTCCTTCTGATTGGTAATTGGCCCAGTTAAATTTCTACTGAAGAAACCCTTCTCCATGGGAGAAGTCCCAGACGGAGCAGTGAAAGGAAACTAGAACTGAGCAGAACTGCGTAGGAAGGCAAGGGCCAGGCTATTTTGTAATCAGCTGTTGCTGTTTTTCTTTCTTGAAATGCAATTGGCCACACGTCAAAAATATTTTGTATCAGTTTAAACACCTTCTGGGTTCACAGCAGATAAAATAAACTTGTACATTTAAGTACTCACCACTCACTTTATTGCATTTTTATGCTGAAGTCTTTACAGGTGGTGTAGAATTTGTACCACAGTGGTTCTACAGTACATGTCAATTTATCAGGTGGTTTCTGAGAGTGCAAGGTTCTATAAATTCACTCTGAAAACAATTCAGCAATGTATTTATTAGAAAATTTTATTTGTACTTGAGTAATTTTAAATGCATGTACTTTTCAACTCTTAAGTATTTTCAAAAGTAAGTACTTCAGTACTTTAACTTGAGTGGATTTTTGACGGAGTAACTTTTACTTGTAGCTGAGTAGATTTGATACYATCAATACTTTTACTCAAGTACTAGAGTTGAGTACTTTGTCCACCACTGAGTATAAAGAGATTTGCTTGGACTAAAAATGACACAAATATTCTTGGTAACATTTTGTTAGTGTTAATTAACTCTCACATTACTTCATAACTTGTTGCAGCAATGGGATTAAAAGTTTAAACACAGTTCCTAATCCCTTTGGTTGATGGAAAGTACATGTATTATCTACAAAGCTGAATAAATGTAAACTGGCTTACCAGATGACTCAAAGAGAAGAGCTAAAACTTCATTTGTGGTTAGCAGAACCCTCTTTCCCATGCGGTTTGCCATCTTTGTATATAGCGGCAAAAATGCCTAAGTCAAAAAGATGACTAAGGCAGAAAGTGATTTTAGACTGTAACAAGCATTCTGATAGGCTGAGGACATATAATAGGCAGGATGATGCAGCAGTGGCAGGAGAGTAGAGTTAGGCAAATATCACAATTTGGCCAAAAATGACTTAGGCATTTTTGCCATGTGGCTAATGATGTTATAATGTTATACTCTCATAAAAAAAAACATGCCCAAAGCCTTGCTCTGACTCATTCATGCATGTTTGAGAAATCCTGCAGAGTTTTTAGGAAGCCATGCTGAGGAGCAAAACGACAGGTGGGGACCAGAAACGCCTTTTGGGATCAGAAATGCCCCTGGGACGTGTCTTTAAGCTGAACTTCCTCATCACGGAGCACACCTCCCCACCCCACACCCCGCCCATGACTACTGCAGGCTCTCAGCAGTAACAAAGCAAAGTGAAAGTGAAACTTAACTGTCCGCTGCTCTCCACTCTACTTCTCACTCAGTGACGCTCTTTTCAGGTTCAAAATACCTTTGAAGAAATGTATTTCAGATGCCAAGTAAACTGCATCACAGCGCACGCGCGACCCCCCCCCCCTCCCCCACGAACCCCTGCACTGAAATGGGCGAGACAGAAGCGGAAGGAGGTTCTTAAAGAGACAGAGGCCAATTTCAAGGCGTTTAAAAGAGGAAGTGATGAAAAGAAAGTTTATTTTCTATTTAAACATAAAAACAGCATTTTAATAACAACTAAAGGTGACATAAGATATATAATAAGATATTTCATTATGATATACAGTAGTATTTAAATGTATGCCAGAGAAAAACATATTGCCCCTTCAATATATAAAAATTTGACGTTAATTTAATAGCAAAACGTTGTTTCACCTCTAAAGTAGACCATTATATTTTTTTATTAAAATATTTTCATTTAATAAAAAAAGAACAAAATAAACTTTGCATTACATAACTAATCATTTTTTAAATGTTCCTTCTTTTCACTAGTTTTCTGTTACTTTTAACTGGCTTTTGCTGCTTTTAGCAAACTTGGAAACTCAGCTTCAGAGGCCAATTTGAAGGTGTTTATAAACGGAAATTATGAGAAGACAAGTTTATTTTCTATTTAAATATAAAAACAGCATTTTAAAAACAACTGAAGGTGACATTATGACTTTATTATGGTATAGAACTTAAATATATGATTGGGAAACATAATATTGCCCCTGTAAGAGGTCCACTTTTCCCAATAAAGAAGCCCCCCCAACACACACACACACACACACACACACACACACACACAAAATCCTGTCTATGGAGCTGACCAGTCACAGCTCAGCAGCTACACACTCTCATTTGCATAATCTAAGCAGAGGTGTGCTCTCTGAGCACTTATAGTTATGTGATTTTTTTTTTATTTTGTTATGGCCTGGTTTAGTTATGCAAGTTATACTTTTTTCTTTGTTTTTATGTTTTTTTAGACTTCTGACCTCCACATTCTGACGTCTACATGGCAGCTCATTCCTCAGTACGTGAGGAACGCTCACATCGAGTGCTGGGGTGAATTTAATGCTGCATCTGGAGGAGATACATTACAGATGAGTGAGGACGTGGCTTTCTTTGGCTCCGACCCAAATGCTCTCCTACTTTTCCCAGAAACCTTTCGCTTTCAGGAATGTTTTTCTGAATTCAAGCGAATTTCATTAATTAAATTAAATTCAATGTTCTCACTGAAATACTTTATAATACAGACAGCATTGTATTGATTCTCAATGTGCTTAAAATCATAAATCCATCCTTCTATCAACGCCATCAACAATAAAAAGGTTTTGTCCAGATGTATTTCCTGTTTTACCAAAGGTGTAAAATTTATGTAAAACATATCCACCAAGCTCTGCTTGTTCATCTCCTCCCAGATAAACAATTAGAAACAGACACAGACTTTATTTTAAACAGGTAAACATTTTAATAAAAAAAATAATTAAGATGAGTTACTTCTATTTCCATCCTTGTGCACATGTACTGACACAAAAGGACATCTATTAGACAATCTCAAACACCTGAAATATTCTAAATCTTCTCATGATGCATCTGTTTTAAAAGGTTTTAATCACACAAAACAAGTGAACCCTTGTCTGCAGGTCAGTCAGCTCCAGCAGCTGAACTCGTCACAGTTTGAGTTTTCTCAATGACCTTCAGAGCGACGGTCTTCACAGCTGTTAGAGCTTCTTTGCAGGCACGGTCGATTTTAGACGGTGGCAGCAGGAAGCCGTAGCGTCCGCGGTCCTGGAGCTCCAAGGTGAAGGAATACTTGATGCCGAGGTTGTATGCCCAGTCGTCAGAACCACCAGGAGCCAGGTCTAGAGAGGGGGAAAAAAGGCATTTACAGGTGCTGGTCATAAAATTAGAATATCATGAAAAAGTAGATTTATTTCAGTAATTCCATTTAAAAAGTATATTATATTCATACATTACATACAAACTCATATATTTCAAATGTTTATTTCVTTTAATTTTGATGATTACAAATGACAACAAATGAAAATCTCAAATTCAGCATATCAGAAAATTAGAATCTTGTGAAAAGGTTCAAAATGGATGGCACCTGGTACCACACTCTACTCAGCTAATTAACTCAAACCACCTGCAAAGGCCTTTAAATGGTCTTTCAGTCTAGTTCTATAGGCTACACAATCATGGGGAAGACTGCTGACTTGACAGTTGTCCAAAAGACGACCATCGACACCTTGCACAAGGAGGGCAAGACACAAAAGGTCATCGCTAAAGAGGCTGGCTGTTCACAGAGCTCTGTGTCCAAGCACATTTATAGAGAGGCGAAGGGAAGGAAAAGATGTGGTCGAAAAAAATGTACAAGCAAGAGAGATAACCGCACCCTGGAGAGGATTGTGAAACAAAACCCATTCAAAAATGTGGGGGAGATTCACAAAGAGTGGACTGCAGCTGGAGTGAGTGCTTCAAGAACCACCACACACAGACGTATGAAAGACATGGGTTTCTGCTGTCGCATTCCTTGTGTCAAGCCACTCTTGAACCACAGACAGCGTCAGAAGCGTCTTGCCTGGGCTACAGAGAAACAGGACTGGACTGCTGGTGAGTGGTCCAAAGTCATGTTCTCTGATGAAAGTAAATTTTGCATTTCCTTTGGAAATCAAGGTCCCAGAGTCTGGAGGAAAAGAAGAGAGGCACTTCATCCACGTTGCTTGAAGTCCAGTGTAAAGTTTCCACAGTCAGTGATGGTTTGGGGTGCCATGTCATCTGCTGGTGTTGGTCCATTGTGTTTTCTGAGGTCCAGGGTCAATGCAGCCACATACCAGGAAGTTTTAGAGCACTTCATGCTTCCTGCTGCTGACCAACTTTTTGGAGATGCAGATTTCATTTTCCAACAGGACTTGGCACCTGCACACAGTGCCAAAGCTACCAGTACCTGGTTGAAGGACCATGGTATCCCTGTTCTTAATTGGCCAGCAAACTCTCCTGACCTTAACCCCATAGAAAATCTATGGGGTATTGTGAAGAAGAAGATGCAATACACCAGACCCAACAATTCAGAAGAGCTAAAAGCCACTATTAGAGCAACCTGGGCTATCATAACACCTGAGCAGTGCCACAGACTGATCGACTCCATGCCACGCCGCATTGCTGCAGTAATACAGGCCAAAGGAGCCCCAAYTAAATACTGAGTGCTGTACATGCTCATACTTTTCATGTTCATAYTTTTCAGTTGGCCAACATTTCTATAAATCCTTTGTTTTTATTGGTCTTCAGTAATATTCTAATTTTCTGATATGCTGAATTTGAGATTTTCATTTGTTGTCATTTGTAATCATCAAAATTAAACGAAATAAACATTTGAAATATATGACTTTGTATGTAATGTATGAATATAATATACAAGTTTCACTTTTTAAATGGAATTACTGAAATAAATCTACTTTTTCATGATATTCTAATTTTATGACCAGCACCTGTATGTCTGAATCAAGTCAAACTTATTGAACTTTTGAGGAGAATGATTTGTTCTTACATATGGTCTTTGCTCCTGAACCATATAAATAATTGTTTCGATAATGTCTCCTGATGTTGTCAGAAGCTTCTTTGGCTATCTCAAGCTTAAAAGGAAACAAAAACACAAAGAATGAAGGAGCCATTTAAGTCATCATGTCAGCTAAAATAAACCAAGTTTTATTACCAATAAATAAATAAATAAATAAATAAATAAATAAATAAAAATAAAAATTGGTAACTGAATTACCAAATCACTGTGATTCTCTGCTTCATCTGTGGTGCAGGAGTATGGGAAGAGCAGCATCTGAGAGTAGGAGTGGATGCTGATGTAGAGATGAATCGAGTCTTTGTGGTGGCGCAGGAAGTCGGCCACAGCCTGCGACTCAGGTTCGGACTCAGGGAAGGCGCCGCAGTAGATCTCGGAGCAGGGATTGTGAGAGGCTCCCTCCGCTGGGAACAGAACAGAAACACTTCACTTTAGAAATGACACTAACACTAACACTCCCATTTCATCGTATAGTAACTTATAACTTAACACAGCTTATTGTAACTTATCATGTCGCATTGTAAATCATTGTATTGCATCGAAATCTTTCGGAACTTATCTTATCTTATCTTGTCGTGTTTTAACTTATCATCTCGTGTGGATTTAACAAAATGGACAAAATCATTTTCTTGAGTTTTCAAAAGAAAAAGAAAAAAACTTACTACACCAGTTTGCATCAAAATTTCTGTTCAAGTCGACTCCGATGCAGTTTGTGCTCCTGTTACGGGAACGATTCTTCCTCCACAGCCTGTCCTGATATTAAAGAATAGTAAATTATTAATATTGTAAATCCAGTTAAATTAATTTCTCTGAAATTCCAGGAAGGGATTTCTGCAACCTTTTTGACCCTGGAGCCAATAAGTCAGAAACTTTCTCCAGAAAAACATCAAAGAAAATACAGTCACAAAAAGACAAAATTACTTAAAAAATTACCAGAACAAATCATAAAATGACTACAATGAGGAGTGAAAACACAAAGAAATGAGAAGTGACAAGGATAAGCTAAAGGACAACAAATAAAAAATAAAATGTGCAACAGAAAAAGGTTTAAATTACAACAAGTACCAAAATACTGCCACAAAGAGACAACACAACAAATTGTCACAAAGTAACAACAGCCTAAATATTAAAACCAGAGACAGCAGAATAACCAATTAGACAAAAAAGATAAATAAAACTGCAACAATTGTCAACAAGGAATCAAAAACTACTCTAAATAAATAAATAATAAATAATAAAAGTAACTACAAAGACAACTACCTTAAAACACAATAAGACAGACACAGAAAAACACCACAAAAACTCATTGATAAGATAAAAAGCGGCTACTTAAATGTAAAAACAACAAACAACAAAGTTTAACAACTACTTAACACAAATGGATTTCAAAGAGAAGTAAAAGTACAACAAAAACGTCTACAAAAAAAAAAAAAAAAACACCAAGACATAAAAACCCCATTATACAACAGAATTATTGATGTAACAACATTCCCATTTTAGACAAACTGTACTTTCAGCTCRTTAATTTACAATTTCTTACTTTTGTCCAGGTGTATTCGTATCCGTCAGGGTTCAGGACAGGCAGGACGTAAACATCCATGTTGTCCAGAATGTCAGTTATGTCCTGAATTTGCTTGTAAAAAGACAACAACTGCAGAAGAAAAACCCTTGAATTTTGGTGTTGATGAGAGAAAACAAGACATTTTAGATGAAGCGCGCACTCACGTGATGTACGAACGACAAGCAGAAAGCAGGAGAGATCCACTCTCTGGCATGGATCCCGCAGTCGATCCACATGGCCTTTTTGTTCGGCCTGTTATTCAGAGACAGCTGGGGACAAAATGACAAAAGGAAGGAGCATCTTYATCTTATCACTGCAAGATTTTACAGGGTTTCAATGAAACGTTACCTTTAGGGCGTAGAGGGGTCTCTTCTCAAATGAGGAGCCAACAAGGATGGCTTTAACTGTGCTGGGGTTGTCATGTGCGGTCCTATTTACCCAACTGTAGATCTGTAACAGAGATCATGTGTTCATTTCCATTCAAACTAAATTTAGAGGAAAAGAAAATCACGATGGATTGTGTGTTCAACAACAGGGGCGTCACTCTCCTTAGCCTCCCTGGTAAGGTCTATTCAGGGGTACTAAAGAAAAGAGTCTGACTGATAGTGGGACCTCAGATTCAGGAGGACCTGGTCGTGGAACACTGCCAGCTCTTCAGGGTCATGGAAGTTTGCCCATCCAGTCTACATGTATTTTGTGAGACTCCAGCAGGGCTGTTGTCAAAGATCCTGTTCATAACATTTATGGAAAGAATTTCTCTGTGCAGGAGGAGGAGGTCCAGTTGAGTGCTTGGCCTCAGGATTCCATCTATGCCATTTGCAGATGATGTGGTTCTGTTGGCGTCATCGTGCCGTGATCTTCAGCCCTCACTGGAGCGGTTCACAGCTGAGGGTGAAGCAGCTCCAAAGCAGGGTCCTTAGTCGGAAAATGGTGGATTGCTTCTCTCCAGGTTGGCGGTGAGATTCTGCCTCAAGTGGAGGAGTTCAATGATCTTAGGGTTTTGTTTGCGAGTGAGGGAAGAATGGAGTGTGAGACTCTGTACTGGTCTGTTGTGGTGAAGAGGGAGCTGAGCTGTGAGGCAAAGCTCTTTGTTTACAGACGTTCCTGCTCTCATGAACTCTTGGTAGAGACTGAAATCTTGGATTCAGGAGGTCTAAATGAGTTTTCTCTGYAGGGTATCTGGACTCTTCCCTTAGAGGTAGGGTAAGAAGTTCWTTTATCTGGATATACCTGCTTCAGGCATGTCCAACTGGGAGGAGACCCTGAGGGAGACCCAGGACATGCTCAGCTGGTCTGGAAACACCTTGGAATCCTCTCAGAAGAGCTGGGGCTGGGGGAAAAGAGGTCTGGACCTCTCTGCTTAAGCTGCTGCCCTAGAGACCTGACTCCAGAACCAGCAGAAGAGAGTGTATGTATGCATGTATGTATGTATGATTGTGGCTTTAACAGTTCCTGAGTAGTTCTGTTAAGGCATCTTTAAACAAAACCTCTTTTTCTTACATCTTCCAGGGAGTGATATTTCTCGTAGAAAGTGGAGCCACTCCTTGGGTCAGTGGAGACGTTCTTCATCTGCAGTTCGATCAGCTCTCCGGCGTTGGCTAGCAAAATCCTTAAAATTTAAAAATAAATAAAACAAACAAACAGTGGTCCCTATGGGAGTTTCTGCTCTCAGACATGTAACCTACTCGTGTGTCATGCCATGTTGCTGCAGCAGGTTCTTGACCATCTCAGAGCTGTTTGCAGGAACATAAAGGTGGACTGGAGTCTCCTCTTTGATGTATTCAGGTGAAACAGGCTGCCATAAAGCTGCCTGAGGGAACATATTATGTGTTATGATTTATACAAGACAGATATGGACATGAAAATAGTAGCAAATGACAGAGGTTTACCTCATATTGAGTAGACAGGTTCCTCAAAACCTCCACTTGTTCTTGAGTTTCGGTGGTGATAGAGAAAACCTGGTCACTGAGAGAGAGACACGTGTTGAAAATATAAAACTACTCATACATGAGGGTGTCAAACAACTAATATTAGAAAAAACTTGATTCAGAAGGAAGCACAGGCCAAAATACAGTTTCGTGTGTTTATATAAGTGTGGCTGTTCTTTTCTGTTTTCTGTCTTCCTTAAACCAGTTTATAAAAAACACCATTACTTTTATATGTCAACATCTACAAAGATAATACCGTAATTCTGTGCAGTGTCCCGTCTTCATAAACAGATCCAAATTCATAAAAACCAACAGAATCAAGAGAGTCATCATGTTGTCAGGGTCCAGACCGAAATACGACAAATGTTTGAACAAACTGTGGGGGTAGAGACACATTATTGATTGGTCCTGACTGTGTTTATGCAACTTTTTGCCTTTTTAGCATAGGTGTAAAGTTTCAAAACACGGTGTAGTTGGGTTCTATCTCATCATAGATATGTATAATTGAACGTCACTTTGTAGTGTGTATTATACAAACATTTTAATCCATTCAGATCCTTCACGAGTGAATAAATACAATTAAAAAGTCGTGCAGTACATCTTCCTCGCCGGCAGGCGGCGCCAGATAAAACCAAAGGTCGAAAAAGGTTCGACAAGTTCCGGAGGTTTGCGGTGTGTTTTTGTTGAATTAAAGATGTCGGCCCACGACCAACTTGCCCTGTGTTTGTGTGAAATAACGAGGTAAGATGCATTTTACTGAGATTTATTCTTATTTTTTTTTTAAATAAGATTTTTTTTCCACCCGTCCCGTCTGGGTCACTGATCAAGAAAAGCAGACAAATACCGAGATTATTCGTATATTTTAACGATAATACCTGCTGAATGGAATAAAAACAAGTAAAGTTTGTTTAGATGTGGCTTGAGCTGAGTACCCTCATCAATTCTCTGTCTTATCAAAGGGGACGCCTGAATATTTCTGTCACATATTAATTTTGTAAAGAAGGTTGAAGTTTTAAATCGAAAATATCCTCACTTTTTAAATTCTAGGTCACAGAAACGTGTCCAAGCTGCAGTACTTTTCCTTTGTTGTTTATGAAAATCAAAACTAGTAAAAGTATGTTTTTGCCTGGAAGTATTATTATAAATTCTAAAAGGTTTTGATTTGCCGATTTAAAATTGAAATTGAAAAAGCACAGGTGTAGTTCCAAAAAGTTGTTTTAAAATTACTCTAATTACTTATCTTATTACTTATCTAATTACTAATCAGTGTGCTGGTGTGTCCCAGACTGTGGTGAAAAACAAGTATTTTCTTAGCCTGGTAAAACAAACAGCCTCTTGTCCTAAAGGGAAACTAGAATTGAGCAGAACTGCGTAGGAAGGCAAGGGCCAGGCTGCTGTTTTCTTGAAACCCTTGTCATTTTCAGACTAATGTAAACTCTTGTTTTTCTTTCAGGTTGCTGTGGAAGCTGCTGCTCCCACTGTTGTTTCTGTGTGCGCTGCTCATCGCGGTCCTGGTCCTGCTGGTGTTGGCGGTTCGTTTCTGGCTGCAGAGCAACAGGAACGCTCGGCGGGCGAGGGAAGGCCGTCCCACCGTGGCGTTCTTCCACCCTTACTGCAACGCTGGCGGCGGGGGAGAGAGGGTGCTCTGGTGTGCCATCAGGGCRTTGCAGAACAGGTGAGGGTGACGTTTGGAGATGAGGTGTTTGAGGATCTCCAGGTTTCCTCCTAACGTGATCGTCCCATCTGCAGATATGCGGACGTCAACTTTGTGGTGTACACAGGGGACCTGGGGGTGACGGGCCAGCAGATTCTGGACGGAGCCAGGCGTCGTTTTAACGTGACGCTCCCCCGGCCCGTTCAGTTCGTCTTCCTGCAGCACCGAGTGCTCGTGGAGGCCAGCCTGTTCCCTCACTTCACCCTGCTGGGTCAGAGCGTGGGATCCATTTTTCTGGGATGGGAGGCGCTGACCGAGTTTGTCCCGGACATTTACATCGACTCCATGGGTTACGCTTTCACGCTGCCCCTGTTCCGCTACCTGGGAGGCTGTAGCGTGGGCACCTACGTCCACTACCCCACCATCAGCACCGACATGCTGTCTGTGGTGAGGGAGAGGAACCCCAGGTAGGAAACCCTGCTCTAGGAAAAAACTCTTAGGTGTGTATTAATGATTACACTTAATGTCATCTTTAAGAATTATGTTGTTTAACTTTAGGAGTCTGTGAATGGAGAGAAACTAAATAAATGCAGAAAAGTTTGGTTTTGAACAGGGAAACAAATGTATAAATTTGATACCATGACCAAATAAGGGAGACTCTACACTGTGTTCCAAATTATTATGCAAAAAGTGTTAATGAGTGATGGGGTAGGAATTTTTTGGTTTGTCGGTTAAACTCATTGATGGTGATGTGTGTCAGGGCTCTTTATATCACTGAAAGCAATTGCAGACACCTGTGCTAATTAGTTTGGCAGAAGTGTCCAATTAAAGGCAAGACTACTTAAGAAGGCTGTCCCACATTTTGAGCTACATTTTCAGACAAAATGGGAAAGAAAAAGGATGTGTCGGCTGCTGAGAAGTAACAAATTGTGGAGTGTTTAGGTCAAGACATGACTACAATCAGCACTGCCAAGACACTTCATCGTGCTCATCGCGCAATCAAGAAGTATGTAGCTGATTCACAGCACACATGTGTGCGTGCTGATAAGGGAAAATTAAGGACTCTGTCCAACAGGTCATTATTTCAGGTTAAAAGAGCTGCTGCAAAAATGCCTTGTCATAGCAGTGGACAAGTTTTTGAAGCTGCTGGTGCCTCCAACGTCCCCCGAACAACAAGATGCAGGGTCCTTCAGAGGTTTGCAGCTGTGCGTGAGTCATCCTGTCGACCTCCTCTATCCACTGCACACAAGCAGAAACGGCTCCAGTGGGCCAAACAGTACATGAAGTCTGACCTCAAAACTGTTTTGTTCACCGATGAGTGCCGTGCAACGCTTGATGGTCCAGGTGGACGGAGTGGAGGATGGCTGGTTGATGGACACCTCATGCGAACAAGGCTACAGCGCCAACAAGGAGGAGGTGGAGTAATGTTTTGGGCTGGAATCATGGGGAGAGAGATTGTTGGACCCTTTAGGATCCCTGAAGGGGTAAAGATGACCTCCATAATGTATGTGGAGTTTCTCAAACAGCACTTCCTGCCATGGTTCAAGAAGAAGAACCGTGCATTCCTCAGCAAGATCATTTTCATGCAGGATAATGCACGGTCTCATGCTGCAAAGAACACATCTGCATCTCTGGCTGCTATGGGCGTAAATGGGGACAAACTAATGGTGTGGCCCCCATGCTCCCCTGACCTCAACCCCATTGAGAACCTCTGRAGCATCATCAAAAGGAGTGTCTATGATGGCGGGGGGCAGTTCACATCTAAGCAACAGCTCTGGGAGGGTATTCTGTCCTCATGCAAAACAATTGAAGCAGATRCCATCCAAAACCTGACAAATTCACTGGACGAGAGAGTTTAGAAGCTCCTTTAGAACAAGGGGTCCTAGWMTGTGCAAATGTAACATCACCTAGAATTAAGTTTTGACTTAAACTGTTTGATTTCAGTTTGTAATAACCTGCTAATGCTTATAATTTCACAAATGACCATTTTTTTGTTCTTTTTAAAAATGAAAAGGTTGAAAACTCTGCTGTGCATAATAATTTGGAACATGCATTTTGAGTGTTTTATTTAAAAAATATCTATACTCTTATTGGCACTTTGTTCAAAATCCTTTCAATTGTACTCTAATAGTTGATGACTGGAAAACTACGACGACTGCAAATCATATAGGTAATTTTGGAAAATCTGAGAAATAATAATTTGGAACACAGTGTAGAAGACTTTAGTGGAACAGTAGGATTTTTAATAAATGTGGCGGTAAAGGGTGATGAAATAAAGTTATCATTTTATCCTGATGCATCTCAGTAATCCAGGTAAAAAAATCAAAAAGAAAAAAATTGTACAGGTCCTCTGGACGGGTTCTTCTTCAATGAAACGTTTTGCTCTCCTCCAAGAGACTTCTTCAGTCTGAGAGTTTCAGGCAAAATTCAGGCTTTTAAGCCCTGCCTCCATGTGACTGATACATCACATGGCTATCGTTGACACCTAATTAACACTTATTGTTAACAGGGGGTGGAGTGATACTGGCAATAGCAGCACTGTAGGAGGGGGACAACTGAAAACGGAGGCCTCCACCTCTGTTTAATGATGGACAGTCTTTCTTCACAAAAATGGCTTCTTTTACTCCTCTCTCAAACCAACGTTCCTCTCTATCAAGAATGAGAACATCCTCATCTCTGAAAGAGTGACCGCTGGCCTGTAAATGAGTGAAAACTGCAGAGTTCTGGCCATTAGATGTAGCTCGTCTGTGTTGGGACATTCTTTTGAACAGTGGTTGCTTTGTTTCCCCGATGTATAACTGGTCCCAGTCCTCCTGGCACTTAACAGCATATACAACATTGCTCTGTTTGTGCCGGGGCACCGGATCTTTGGGGTGAACCAGCCTTTGCCGTAATGTGTTTTGGGGTTTGAAAGCTACTGGGACATCATGTTTAGAAAATAAACGTCTCAGTTTCTCCGAAACACCCGCAACATACGGAATAACCACTGGTTTGGGTCTGGGTTTGGGGTCTTCATTTTCACCTGAAGGTTGCATGGAATCCTGTCTGTGTTTCCTGTCTGCTTTCAGGAAAGCCCAGTCAGGATAACCACACTGCTCCAGGGCCTGTCGTGTGTGTRATTTCTCTTTCTGCCTGGCTCATGGGTTTGTAGGGACACTGTCTGCTCTGTGGTACAGAGTCCTGATCACTCCTAACTTGTGTTCCAGTGGGTGGTGGGAGTCAAAACGCAAATATTGGTCTGTGTGGGTGGGCTTACGATACACGCCAGTTTCCAACCGTCCTCCATCCGAAATCATTCATCCATCCGTTATCATTTTAGGTTCAACAACCAGGACTTGGTCACCAACAGTTTGTTCCTGAGCGCCTTCAAGCTGGTCTACTACTGCCTGTTCGCCCTGCTCTACGGCTTGGCCGGCTCCTGCAGCGACGTCGTCATGGTCAACTCCTCCTGGACCCTCGATCACATTCTTTCCCTGTGGCGCTCTCCCAACCGCACCAGTGTGGTCTACCCGCCCTGTGACATCAGCGCCTTCTCTGACGTCCCGCTGGAAGAGGATGGGGACAGGAAGTGCCACTCCATCATTTCCATCGGGCAGTTCAGGCCAGAGAAGGACCACCGGCTGCAGATCCGAGCCTTCAAGAAGGCATTGGACAGGAGGGGGGAGGGACTGAAGCTCGTTCTTATTGGTGGATGCCGGAACCGGGAAGACGAGG